TTGAATTCTTTTTAAATAAAATTTTAAATTTGAATCTTTTAAATCAAAAAATAAATATAATGAATTCTTTTTAAATAAAATTTTAAATTTAAATTTTTTAAATCAAAAAATAAATATAAGATAATTTTTTCTTATAAAATTTAACATGATTTGATTTTAAATTAATTAAAAACTAAAATAACTTTTTAAATGTTGGAATTAATAAAAAGATAAATATAGTGCCTTTCAAAAAAAGAAAAAAATATGAGACAGAGGGAGTATAACCAACAAGCTCGATGGCGGGGAAATTTCGTAAGCTTTGTTGACAGTAACCGCCGCGAAATTTCCACACAGCCTACATTACTGTCCCTTTGTCCGGTTCTAGTGAAAAGAGTAGAAGTAGAACTGTAGAAGTGGATTTTACCTTGTAGTAACCTGCAATTCATCCAAAGCCCAAGCCCAGCTTATAGGCCCCATACCTCTAGCACATGGGATAACAGTAGCAGAACCCCCAGCCCCCTTTCCAGTTTCCCCTTCCCCTCAAGTATTCCTTCTTCTCCTCTCTTTATCTCCCTCTGCAAAACAAGATGTTGTCCATACTTTAATTTGGTGTCGGTTGGGAAATTTTGAACACTATAATCCCGCGCAAAGGAAGCAATAAAAAAATTAAGATAATAATTTAATATAATTTAACTTATATATTTCTCAACAAATTTACGTTCACAAAAAGAGTCAATGCAATTTTACATGATTTCAATAGGCAAATACTAACCCATAACTAGTTAGTTTGGGGAAGAAATTTTATCACATGGGAATTCCATGTGTTCCCTTGGAGTTGGACTTTTTACCAACAGTGTCAACTGTGCCTTCACCTGTTCTTAGTCTCCCAGTCACAAAACCATTCTTAAATCATCTAGAACCTCCATTTTTGTCAAGTCCAAAGCAAATTCGACACTTCCATTCGCCCTTATTGATGAGAGAACCATACCCTCTTCAAGAAATCAAAGATTAGAAGTATCTGTAGCCGCAGAAGCCGTCGCTGCCGACATACCCACGGAAACTGAAACTTCGTTCTCCGAAACCCCACAAGAAACTGAGGTTGAAACTTGAAATTAGAAATCGCCCCACTTCGCTTCCCGAAATATGCGTTGCCTGTATGTTCTTGTTTTTTGGACATTAGGCGTTCTGGGTTCTGCAGAAAGTTAGGTTGATGGTTAAGCAAGTGCAGAAGCCGAGATTGGTACTGAAGTTCATATGGATGGAGAAAAACATTGGGCTTGCTCTTGATCAAGTGATTCCTGGGCATGGGAAGAGCTCAAGGCCACTCTAGAAAGCAAGACATGGATATCCCAGAAGAAGATGATTATCCTTCTTAATTAGGCTACCGATATCATCAATCTCTGGCAGCAAAGTGGCGGCAATCTTACCTAAACTGCAATTAATGTCGGTATTTGTGTTTTCATGTATGACACTGGTGTATCACGTTCATGGCAGATGTAATATCATAGCTGAGCATTTTGTCTAAAGCTTGCTATGAATTATGCTCCCTTGCTCTTGCTTCCACATCTAATTCTACATTTAATAGCCAAAAATCATTGTGATAAATTACACATCTTTTTCATTTGTCAAGAACTTAATCAATGTGAAAAGTCATACAAATCAATTAGCTATCTATTACAGAGATCAGGGATGGAATATTTTCTTTTCCATATACTGAGATATTCATTTGTTTTAGTATCTACCTATAACTTATGTGGAAATGCATTTTAGCTACTCTTCTTTGGGCTCCAAAGAAAGAAGATAGGCAATTAAGCCAACAGCAGGGATAAATCGAAGATAATTCACTATATCTACCTTGCTTTTCTGGATGATTTGTAGGTTGTCACCAATCAACCAAGGTTGGAAAACTGTGTAAAGACATATATCCCAAATGAAGGCATAAGCCAGCCTTTCAGATCCCAAGTAACTTAGCAGGTACTGCCATCTATCTGCTATGCTACCAAAATCACCATCCATTCGGCCAAAGAGCGCCCAAAGTGCGGAAATCAGGCACACAGCCCCACCGATCAATCCTACTATGGGTGCACCATTTACCATCACGGTTCCAAGCTGAGAGCGTTTTGTTGGACTGTCTGTATCAGCCTCATTCAGCCGGATAGCCATATAGGGAATTAAGAATGCTAGAATCACATAAAGCATAAACAACAATGTCTGTTAATGGATAAAATTGACAATCTGTGTGAATACTGAATACAAAACAAGAAAACTCTATTAGAAAATGCATTGAGGTAAAGACATCTAACACAGAAAAGAATGCAACAGAAAATCACCAACAGAGTTTCAGCACCCTTTTTTGGGAATTGAAAAAGATCCAGCAAAATTTTTGAATGGATGATCCAGAGTTCATTATCAAATTCTAAAGATTGGGCACCTTAACAATCGTGAAAAATGTAAAGACCAATCTAACACATGCCATCACACTAATTTAACTATTTAGTGAGCTTTAGTGTTTGCAAGGAAACATACTGTTTGTGAGGAACATTTGCAGACCCCATAAAACGTCTAGAGACCACTTGTATCTGTCTCTCTTGCAATCAGTGTATAACAAAGGAGCAAACATGAGTGTCCACCCAATCACAAAGTTGAATAATCCTTCAGACACCTGAAAGACAGAAAATACAACAACTTTATCACACATGCTTGGATTGACAGGCACTACAGAAAAGAATAAGCGCAAACCCCACACATCTAATCTAGTAAGTAATAATTCTTACCGGGTGCAGAACTGGGGCTTCCAGCAGATGAATACCAACTACATTGCAGAAGATCAGTACAGAAATCATCAAGGATGATAGAACACATAACAAATTGTCTTCAAAAATCCATGAAGCATAGTAGATAAACAAATTTAACCAACTGATACTCATAATCAGTACGAGATGGAGTTCTCAACATACCAACATTCATGAACGGCAAGATAAAGAAGAAATTTAGAGAAAGACCCACAAGAGAATTCACTGTATCTGAACTGATTGCCCACACAGGATCTCCCTGTTACACAATCAAACCAATCAATTCCATTCATAAAGGTTCATTCTATTGACAGATAATCATGTATTATCAGGTATCGTACAGGAGCGTAAGGGAGCAGAAAGAGCCATAAGATGTAAACGGCCTCGGCGGTCCATAGAGCAACTTGTAGCACTCGCCGGATGGTATCTTCGCCCTCTACGGAAGAGCTAGGGATGGTGCTGGCGGTGTTGGGCTTCCGGCGAGCCGCGTGGCATGCAATGGTTCGCAAATCAACTGAAGTTTGAGTGGAGAGGGATAACGGGATTGAAGACCAAGTTCTGCCATCTTTATACGGTTGGTGGTGTCGAGAGGGTGAAGGGCTTATCGAATTTAAGAATTTGGGTCTTGCAGGAAAGGAAAAGGGTCGCTGGCCAGATGCTATCACCGTCGCAGCCATCATTTGGTTTCCCGGCGAAGGAGGTAGCACCGGGAAATAATCACCAATATTCAGGGCTGATTTTGTCTTACGTGGTTCCTCCAGCAACAATGAATACTCTGTGACCGAAAACGACGTCGTTTGTAGTAGATTTTCTGATTTATAAGCAAATAAACCGTACCGGGGAAGTCTCTGGTCTCACCATCTCGCCCAAAAGCTCAACACCCCCGGCCTGCGTGCGGAGCTTTTCCCGCGCATTTTCCTGCGAATCTCTGAATGGCTCCGAAGGCCGACGGCACCGAAGGTAACAGAACTCCCTCTCGTCTCCGCCGATAAGAGCTTCTTTCTGTTTCGGTTCTGTGTTTTCATTGTCGCTATTGAGATTTTCTCCTTTAAATTTGCAGCAATTGTGCTCAGCTTCGTGAATGAGGTAATTCCTAATTTTGTTTGTTATTTTCGTGAACTCCATTTAGGCTTCCATAACTTGCTTTCTTTTCAATTAGATTTCAGTCATGGATTAGTTGGATAATTTATGCTTCAATTAATTGTGAATATGAGTAATCGATTTCCCTGAGAGTTTTACGATTTTTTTACTTCGATTTAACCGATCAGAACATAACGCTTTCCTTTTTTGTTAGATCTTCTATCTTTTTAGGAGCTGAATCTCCAGTTCTATTAATCAGTAACCAGTGAGCGAAAATTTTGATTGTTTTACAGGATTGGAATTTCTAGGGAAACAAACAGATCTTAATAGTCTTGTTTTGATGGAGAATATATTACTTTTCTTTTGTGGATTTTCTTAAAATATTTGAGAAAAGAAATGGAAGTTAGTAAGGTAGTATTGAGAGACTATACTGCTACTGCACCAGTAATGTTCAGACTTCAGTAAGCTATTGTAATAGCAGCCATAAATATGAACTGCTTATGTTTCCTTTGTTGTTTAGGGTGTATTACTCAGATTTGGTTTTTTTTTTTTTTTTCCTAAATCAGCAAAATCGGCCACTAAATTCTCAAAATGTAGCTGATGCATTACAAAAGTTTAACCTCAAGAAGGCATCTATTCAAAAAGCACTGGATGCTCTTGCTGATAGTGGAAAGATTTCATTCAAGGAGTATGGTAAGCAGAAAATATATCTTGCTCGCCAAGACCAGTTTGATATCTTAAACAATGAAGAGCTTGCCCAAATGAAGGAAGAAAATTCCAGATTGCAGAATGAGCTGAATGAACAAAAGAGAGCAATCAGTGAGGTTGAGGGAGGTATTAACCTTTTAATCATCAAATACTTATTCTACCAAAGCAATACCAAATACTTTTTGAGTTTTTCAGTGCTAGGTTTAAAGATTCTACTTTCTCAGTCTGAAACATTCCAACAGTCATGGTGGAAAATATATGAGGAAGCTTTTTGTTTGTGTTACGCAACATTAATTTATGCTGTTGTTGCAGAGATTAAAACTTTGCAATCAAATTTGACCATGGACGAGATACGCAGCAAAGAAGCCAAACTGAGGAAAGAGGTAAGAAATATTTTTTCAAAACAGTTGTGAATGACAAGTGGATAAAGAACTGGAGACATCAGGACTGTTTAATTATTTATCAGGTGAAGGAAATGGAGGACAAATTGGATAAATTACGTGGAGGGGTTACCCTTGTGAAGCCTGAGGAGAGGAAGGCAATCGAGGAAATGTACTCAGAGAAGATAAGCCATTGGAGAAAGCGCAAAAGAATGTTTAAGGATCTATGGGATGCCATAACTGAGAACTCGCCTAAGGATCTAAAGGAATTCAAGGTTTTTCTATTATCCTGTAATTTTCATGAGCATATGCTTTGACATGCTGAAGTTGTTTCTGACAGTTGTCTGTCATGTTTATAGGAGGAGCTTGGTATTGAATATGATGAAGATGTTGGAGTGAGTTTACAGTCATTCTGTGATCTGCTGCAGCACGGGAAGAAGCGAGCAAGAGGCCAGTAATGTTATATGAAGAGTTACATACATTGTCATTATTTCAGACAAGAAGTTGGTATTTTTCTATGGGTAAATCTGTTTCAAATGTTTTTAGATTCTGCATCCTTGTACGATCTTATACTTCTGGATAATAATAAATCAGTTTCACAAATTGCATCCAAACTTTGTTTCATAGAATGGAACTTGTTGTCAGTCTATGTGAGTTAGAAGCGAAGAGCAACTAGACAGAACTTTTAGTTCAAGGCTCAATGATGAATTGTACGAGTATTGGTAACTAAAAATTCAAAATAGCCCATGGATGTGATCACGCGAATGTATTTGTTTTGATTAACAAGTACTTTAGTAAGTAACTTGATAATAGTGAATGTATCTGTTGTCATTTGTATCTTCATTGACAATCCTCAGAAAACTGCTCGAGTTACTTCAGTTTCCCCAGTCTCTTGATGAATAAATTTTTAATGTTGTAGGCGGAAATCGAAGTTATTGAGAACCTTCGAGATTGTCTGCGACAGTGAGTGAGGTTGCTAAAGTAGAATAGGTAGCAATGGTATCTGGCTGTTTTAGTATGTTTTCAAGCTTAGAGATAAGGGGTGGAAAAATCTGCAAATCAAAACTATAATAGTTGGGTTGGATTTTATTGGATTTTGAGTTTTTTCTTTTCTTTTTTTATTAAGGTTTAAACTGAATTAAAATTAAATTTTTAGTTAAAATTGAAATTAATTCAAATGATTGTTTTCAAAAAAAAGTTAACTAAAATTGATAAAACTTGAATCTTTCAATTTGATTAAAAACCATGACAAAAACTGTTTTTTCTTAAAAAAAATGTGCTTCCCAAAAGAAACTCAAATTTATTTTACCTTTTGGGCACGTTTGATTGTCCACTTTTTTTTTTTTTTTTTTTTGAACATTTTGACATGGACGGGTTGAAACCGCCCAGGGGAGGGGGAAAACTGACTAATGCCAGTGGGCCTAGAGGCCCAGGAGCGTTTGATTGTCCACTTTTTAAGAACAAAGAATCTGAAAAGTTGAGCAAAGATTTCCTTAACTTAGGAAATAATTTTCTTGGTATAAAAATCAAGATTTAATATAATAATTGATTATATTACAACATTCCCCAGAAACTATTCTTCTACAATATCTTGTTAGGAAAGTGAGGTAATTAAATATAAAGGAAAATAATAGATTATATCATTATAATTACTTTTAAAACTCTTTTTAATTAATTATATATCAATGTAGTCGATTGATGAATTGTATTGAATCTCAACTTTTGTGCCACAAAAATTACTTTCATAAGCCAAACTAATGTAATCTTTGACCGACTTCCCAGAATTTTTTACGCAGGGAAGTTGCCAACCAAACGAGTCCTTTAAGAAAAAGTATAATGGGAAAAGTATTAAGTACAAAAACCACTAATTGTAGACTTATACAACACAATCAATGCAACTCACCAAGTTTGCAAGCCAAGAAAATTGTGGAGAAGAAGACAGACAAACTGATTTACAGACTCGCACCAATGTTACAAACAGATACTTGTATGCTCCTTAGTAGCCACGCACTTGTCTGGTCCTCAATGGAATTGGTTCCTTATTTATGGCTAATTGCTGTTTACCTTTTATCCTAGATCTTTCAGTAGTAAGTGCTGGAGAGTGTCCAAGTTCCACTTCCGTATTCAGGCCAGACCTAAGGTTTGAAGGGATTTGCTTAGAGGGACCTTCATCTCTGCTACGGTTCATTGCAGAATTTGAGTTGTAGCTCTCATCATCATCGCTGTATTTCAAAATTATATCCTTGTCTAACAATTTGACTAGATCTACTTCATCCAAAGACATCATGGTGCTTGAATCTTCAATTGGTGAAGCAGAGACTGATGTCTTGATTTCTACAGTTTTCTTGCTCTGATTCATCTCCTTTGCCAGACTACCATCCTGAATTTCCTTGCCTTTGGAATCTGATTCATGTTTGTTGGTCACCCTTCTTCGTGGTGTCCTAGGACTATTCTGATTTCTTGGTGTTCTGGGACTATTCTGATTATCAGGATCATGGGAATCAGATCTAGAGAGTTCCACTGCTGCTCTTGCAGCAGCAGCAGCATATGCAGCGGACTCAAAAGCTGCTAGAGCTGCATCAGCTACATCCTTGTACTTTTGCCTTGGTTCCATTGAATCAAAAGAACCTCCTTCATTCCCAAAAACACCACTTGTCTTCGTTGATAACACTGGCTCCGTGTGGTTTTGCTTCTTACTCGAATCCAAACTTTCCTGCTTCAATCGCACAAGTCACATGCCATTAATTTACTGCTAAATTATATGAAGTATATAGTGTAAACGAGAAACAAAGAGTTTTTACAAAAGCTATAAGTTTCTGGATAACCTGCATACCTCACTTGAACCAGAGGAGGTTCCTTCTAGTTGGAAAACAATGCTGTTCTTAGCAGCAATCTCCTTGAGCACCTTCATTCTGCTCTCCAAGTCTGGCTGTTTAGTAGAGAGCTTCTCTATAAGCTGCAAAAGCGAAAACCACAATTGTTAGAAAACCATTCATTTGCAAAGATCAAAATAATCAACTTCCACAGTAATATATATCAGTAGCATGAAATCAACCTTCTTTTAATACAACTTTATGATTATACCTTCTCTATATCTATATCTATTACTCAATCATATTCATCTTCAATCATACAAAACCACCATGTTTGATCCATTTGAGGATAAATACTTTCATTTCTTCTCTGGAGGTGATGCATATAACAATAACTTGGTGGACAAAGATTTAAGTTTTAAATAGAATTAAGAAATGTACATTGGAGCTCACGGCACAGTTATTGCGCAGCTCAATAGCACGAGCTGCAAATTCCTTGCCATAGCGAGACATGAAAACTGCACGAATTTCTTGAAGCTCCGGGAATTCCCCACACCTTGAAGATGCAAAGAGCAATCCCGACACAGCCTCCCTCAGCTCCTCATGACACTCTCTACAAGCAATTCCAAAAAAAAAAAAAACTCAAGCGCCACCAACAAGCTTATGAAATTGAAATCAGTCCCTGAACAAGAAATTAACCTGTTTTGTTCGATCAGATGCACTCTTTCAATGAGGAGATTACAGTATCCTTCCAGCATAACAAACACATCAAGCATATTCTGCTCTTTGATCACCAGCTCAACCTGTCCAACACAAACACCAAACAAGATCATGAACAACTGCATACAATTCCAAATGCTTTAAATCGATCGAAAATCTTACACGAAGGAGAGCGCGATCGTGGTTGCCGAGTTGGAGGAACTGAACCACATCAGAGCGAGCCTGGGAGCAGCGGACCTGCCGCTGGTTTTGGAGGACGGAGAGACGAGAGAGAGCGAGATTGACAAGCGGTTTGAACTTGGAGGTCTTGAAGCTCCTTCCGAGCAAAGCATCGAGCTTTTTCCCCATACCTCTGCTCCGTCACTGTTGTTCCAGTTACAAGAAAATTCGTATCAAGAGAAGGGGGAGTAGGTCAGAAATGGGGAGGTACAAGGAAACAGAGAGGTCAAGGCTTATTTGGGCCTTTATGTGATGACCGAAGCGAGAAAGACAGGGTCAGAGAAGATGAAGAGACTCTGTTTAGCAGTATGCGGTTCTTCCGTGTTACTTCTTTCGTCTTGTCAGTTAGGAATTAAATGGAAAAAACGATGGCCAATGGGAAAATGGTAAGCCTGGTTGTGTTGTGCAGTCATTTTCCATGAAAGGACGCTGGAAATTGAACTCCAGGGCCCAGGCACATTGATTTAAGATAGAAAGAGATGCAATTCTGGCGCGTCGAGTGCAATCTTCATGGGAATAAAAAAACAAGAATTTAACTAAACTATTAATTAAAAATTTATAATTTAGAGTTAAGGTTGAAAATTAAAGAAAAGTAAAAAATAAAAAAGATAGGTTTCAAACTTTCCCTTTTTTTTTTCTTTTTTTTGGTTTACCTGATTTTGATTTTAAACTTTGCAGTAACCATAAGTATTTTTTTAATTAAAAAATTCAAATTTTTTATTTTTGTAAAATCTTGATAAAATAATTTCTTGTAAATCTCATAATCCCGTGCATTTTACATAAGTTGGTTTGAGCGTAGCCGTCGCAGTGGACGGAGGTGAAGCTTCTCGTCGGTTTCCTTTAGAAAACAAAAAAAAAACATTACAAGAAATATAGAAAATCAAACCCCTCTTTGACTTTCGAACCCCACGAAAGAGGCTCTTTCGGCCGCCAATTGATAAACACAAGCGAATTTGCTTTCATATGTCGCCTCAACAATAAATCAACAATTAAGGCTTGTCCCACAACTTAATATTATTATTTTTTTGACATAATATTATTAATTGGTATAACTGATTTTTTTTTTTTTTTTACAGGAGAAATAATTAGAAATTATAAGTTAAGTTAGTCCTTACTCATGATAAAATTTGATTATTAATTAAAGGTGTAATTCATCAATAGCCCTCTTAGATTGAAGTGGTCACCAATAAATCACAACAAGAAAATGCGATAAATGATTTAAAGTTGATTAAGTATTTATATTAGTACATATTATCCTTGATAGCTGATTGAATCAAGTGGATTCCAACCTGGTAACCTATTAGCCCTTTCAAAAATAAGTTAATATAAGTTATAATGACATTTTGACATTTTAAATTTATAAATATAACATATCATTATATAATTAATTTTTTATTAAGTAATTTA